AATTCAATTCCGATTAATTCATTTCGCTTTAACTGGCGCACTTATATACAAGAATAGAAGGCGCCTAGCAAATACTGGATTATTCTTGATGTTCCCCGATCCTTCGAGAATATCATGACGTGTTACCAGGGTCACGTGACTACCGCTTTCGTAACAATACTTACAACAATATAAATGGAAATGTGTATTAGTTTTTCAAACATACTTGTTAGAACCTGTTATTCATGAGGTGTAATTTATCATAAAAGACTAAACTAGACATGTATGAGTCAGTATTTTATGAACTAAGATGTTTTGTAAATAGTATGTTAGTATATCTTGAAGTTTTGTTAACAAATGTTTCAATATGTTTGTTTGTTTGTAATTAAGCACAAAGCTACACAATGGGCTATCTGTGCTCTGCCCACCACGAGTATCGAAACTTGAATTCTAGCATTGTAAGTCCGCAGACATACCGCTGTGCCACTGGGGGGCGTTTAAATATGTGTTAAGTCTGAGATTTACTTATATATATTGATATCTGCTTGAAATATATTGGGCTATGATGAAATGTGAGTTTTATAAAATATAATCACAGAACCCTGATTTGTAACTGACGACTTGTATAATTTATAAGTTTGCCCCTGAAGAAGAAAGGTCCACCTTACGAAAGCGCTCGGGTTATAGGGTTTTATTCATTTCTATCAAGACTTCTTGAACCTATGTGTTTTTCTAACACCATGAATGTAATAGTTACGTAACCCCCAGACGGCATCCTTTGATCTCCTCTCACCTGGCGACCCCCCACTGAGGCGGCATTCTTTGGGCAGAGGACAGGCACCCTAACTACTGCTATCTGCTGTGTGTGCTGCATGGAATCTAACACCGGATTTTAGCCTTCTAAGTTCGTAGACTTCTGTTATCCCATCGGGGGACTATTATAATGTAATCACATAACTATATCTATGAACAGGTTTCATTTTGTAGTTATGTTATAATGCATATTATTCCCAAGTGTCGGCATAATATTGTCATATCTCCCTTAAGACAGCCGCGCCCTCTGGTGCGTATTATGTAATAGTTATGTAACCCTCAGGTGTTGGCATAATTTGCATATTACGTATCATACCAGTTTTTGGTATGTGTGTGTTAAGATGTGTTTACATAGCTACGTCTATGAACAGGTTTTATTTTTGCGTTGTATCATATTGTGATGAAATAGCTTAGTCTCTGAACAGATCTCATTTTGTAATTATATTATATGGTGATTATGTAAAGTATAATAACCACAAAACTACGTGTAATCTATTCATTTAATGAAATGAAAACGAAAGGTATTAAACGATTAACCCAAAGTCAAGATGTTCATAATCACAGTCTTTCCAATATTCTTACTACACTAAAAACGGCCGTGCCCAGCATTTTTTGGGTATGTGTGTGTTAAGATGTTCGATGAAAATTCTTAAAAAATATGTAAATAATGTTACACACAGCATTTTTAGTATAATTACGTGCAGTAATTCATTTTATACTTTCAGTACATAAACTGACAACAATATTAGGTAATACTTTTGTTGCTAAACAACATGACATAAAAGCCATTGTTAGAACGTAGTGTTACCAAAAATTTATTAGAAAATGCAGTACGTGGATTTTTTTGTTATTCATGAAAAAGTTTTCGTGATGAATATAGGTTTTTTTATTTTTATGTGCCCCCCAGTGGCACAGCGGCATGTCTTAAAACGCTAGAAACCGGGTTTCGATACCTGTGGTGGGCAGAGCACAGATAGCCCATTGTGTAGCTTTGTGCTTAACTTCAAACAAACAATAAACTATTTTTATGTAGTTCTATTCGTCAAACTAGTTGTTTTTATGGTAATGTAAGGATACACTTGGCCAGCAGAGAAAATGTAAAGGTTTGGCGTTAGTATTACAAATCAAGGCGCTTTAGGAGTATACGCGGTTCCTTTAATGACGCCGTACACGGAATAGTCCTGTCAGCGTTTTACCGTGTGCCATCCGTTAAATATATTACATTAGCGTATAACCCTTAACAAATGACCGAGCAAGTATTACCACCCCAACCCCATAGTATACCCTAATATCATATTTAATAGCTAATTCAAATATATAAATCTTGGGAAATCAAACTTGACCAACAAAGAGGCGGAAAAGTGCAGTTGAAGCTGTCAAACGTTGGTAAATTCCTTTGTGAGCCAATCAAAATTAAGATCATTCATTAAATGAATTCGTGGTGTATTTTGTTTATTTGAACTTAAGCACAAAGCTACACAATGGGCTATCTATGCTCTGCCC